AATAACAAATGGCGCATGTGTGTTGATTATAGAGCTTTGAACAAGGCCACTATTCCAGATAAATTTCCAATCCCAGTTAGAGGAGTTATTGGATGAGTTGCATGGGGCCAAATATTTCTCTAAGTTGGACCTCCGTTCAGGATATCATCTAGTCAGAATGAGGGAGGAAGACATTCCAAAGACAGCATTCCGAACCCATGAAGGTCACTATGAGTACCTTGTGATGCCCTTTGGACTTATGAACGCGCCGTCGACATTCCAATCTCTCATGAATGAAGTTTTTCGGATGCTGTTGAGACGAGGGGTATTGGTGTGTTTTGATGACATACTCGTGTACAGCCGCAGTTGGGAAGAGCATATGCAATTGCTTGAGAAGGTGTTGGAAGTGTTGAGAGATCACCAATTATTTGCAAACAAGAAAAATGTTTGTTTGGCCATGAGAAGGTGGAGTATCTAGGGCATATTATTTCCTTACATGGAGTTGCGGTGGACCCAACGAAGGTTAGTAGTGTGTTAGAGTGGCCAATTCCCAAGAACGTGAAGGGAGTTCGTGGATTTTTTGGTCTCACAGGCTATTATCGTAAGTTCATAAAAGATTATGGTAAGATAGCTAAACTACTAACAGGGCTTACTAGAAAGGATGGATTCGGGTGGAATGAACGAGCTCAAGAAGCATTTGATGAGCTCAAACGAAGGGTCACTTCAGCACAGTGTTGAGGCTCCCTAATTTTGAAGAAGAGTTCGTCTTGGAATGTGATGACGCAGGGACAGGGATTGGAGCGATCCTAATGCAGGGAAAAAGACCGGTGGCGTACTATAGCAAGGCCTTGAGTTCATGCAACTTGACTAAGTCAGCCTACGAAAGAGAGTTGATGGCAGTGGCATTGGCTATCCAACATTGGTGGCCTTATCTTTTGGGTCACAAATTTACTGTTTTATCAGACCAGAAGAGTCTTAAGCAATTAATGCAGCAAAGGATAACAACAGGAGGACAACAAAACTGGTTGGCTAGACTATTAGGCTATAATTTTGAGATTGTTTATAAGCCAGGCAAAGAAAATCAGGGGGCAGATGCTCTATCCCGAAGTAGAGATGAAGGAGAAATGAAGAGCATGGTGTCTTTTCCGGTTTGGTTAGATTGGCAAGAGCTTAATGCAGTGGTACATGTTGATGATAAATTGAAGAAGATAATAGAAGAAATGAAGGTTGGACAAGTTTATGTGGGATAAGGTGTTTTATATTATAAGGACCGCTTAGTGGTATCGGAGAAATCTATGTGGGTCAATAGGTTTGGAAGAAGCTCACTCTACTCCGCAAGGGGGTCATTTAGGGTTCTAACGAACTTACAGAAGAATTGCAGCCAATGTGTATTGGAAAGGAATGAAGAAAGATGTCCAACAATTTGTCCAAGCATGTGATACCTGTCAGAGGCAGAAATACATAACAGCAGCCCCTAATGGTTTATTACAGCCTTTACAGATTCCGGAAAGAGTATGGGAGGATATCAGTATGGACTTCATTACTGGATTGCCACGATCTAAAGGATTTGAAGCAATTTTGGTAGTAGTGGATCGTTTAACAAAATACTGCCATTTTGTTCCCCTTAAACATCCTTATACGGCGAAGTCCTTAGCTGAGATTTTTGTAAAAGAAATAATAAGGCTGCATGGAGTACCAAATTCGGTGGTGAGTGATAGGGATCCTATATTCACGAGCTTGTTTTGGAGGGAGCTCTTTAAGATGCAAGGAACAAAGCTGAAAATGAGCACGGCATATCATCCGTAATCGAACGGACAGATTGAGGTAACTAATCGATGTCTAGAGACTTACCTCAGATGTTTTATTACTGATCAACCAAAAACGTGGGTGATTTGGATGCCGTGGGCAGAGTTGTGGTTTAATATCACTTATCACAGCTCCACGCAAATGACTCCTTTTGAAGCGGTGTATGGAAGACCTCCTCCTAAGATTGTACAGGTGGTTCAAGGAGAGGTGAGGGCAGCAGCTGTTCAAAAGGATCTTCTGGAGAGGGATGAAGCATTAAGACAATTGAAGTCTCATTTATTGCGTGCCCAAGACAGAATGATTATTCAAGCTAATAAGCATTGAAGGGAAAGACATTTTCCTGTGGGAGATCTTGTGTTTTTGAAGTTGAAACAGAATAGATAACACTCGGTCATAAGCAGAATTAATCATAAATTAAGTGCTATAAATACTATGGACCATTTGAAGTAGAGGAGAAAGTAGGAGGTAGCATATCGTCTGAAATTACCACCTACTTCAAAGATCCATCCTGTTTTTCATGTATCTTTGCTGAAGAAGGCGGTGGGCAAGTATAAGGTTGAGGATGCTCTCCCTACCGGGTTAGATGATGACAAAGCCGAAGTATTAGTTCCTATGGCCATATTAGCCACTAGGAACTACACCAAAAGAGGGGAAACTAAGAAGCAAGTACTGGTTCAATGGAGGGAACACAATGCATACGAAGCCACTTGGGAAGATGAAGTAAATATTAGAAGTCAATTTCCAGAGTTTAGCCTTGAGGACAAGGTTTTAATTCATGAAGAAGGCATTGATACGTACCCAGGTGTTAGGGAAATCAATGAACCCTTGATTCAAGGAGGAGGAAATAATAAAAATAGGTGGGGCAGAGTTTATAAGAGGAGAGAAAAGGGTAACGTGGCTTTGTGAGGGAAATGTGTTAGTTAGAAGAAAGAGAAAAAGAGTATGGGTTGTTATATATTCTGAGGTGTAGGATGTGAGAGGGGACACGTTTTGTTTTCGGTGGAGTGGGAGGAGAAGAATTATTACGATTCTTATCAGGAGCTTGCTCTGGGCAGAGGGTCCTGAAACCTTCTGAGTTTTCTGTTTTATCATAATAGTGAATTTTCACCATTTCACTTTTCACACTTCATATTTTTTATTGTTCCATTTATCCCTAAAACTCTCATTTCTATCATTATTACTGAAAAAAAATCTACTTATGGGTATTGTGTATTTCTTGGAGATAGTTTGGTAATGTGGAGGAGCAAAAAACAAGATAGAGTATCTCATTGTAGTGCAGAAGTTGAATTCTAAGCTCTTGCTCAAAGAATGTGTGAAGGACTCTGGATGAAAATAATTTTGGATGACCTTAAAGTCAAGGTGGACAACCTTGTGCAACTACACAGTGACAATAAGTTTGCCATGAGCATTGTCCATAATCCAGTACATGACAAGACCATACACATTGAGATTGACAAATATTTCATCAAAGATAATCTAGAATGAGGCTTTGTGATTACAACTCATCTTCCTACAAAACTTCAGATAGGAGATATTTTTACAAAAGAGCTCTCTCTGGATAGATTTCAAGGTCTTGTAGACAAGTTGAGAATGATTGATCTTCATTTACCAACTTGAGGGGGAGTGTTGTAATTAGAGGAAAACCTTCCTAATTAGAGGAAAATCTTCCTAATTAGAGAAAATATCTATAGAATCTTCCTAATTAGAGAAAATATCTATAGAATCTTCCTAATTAGAGAAAGTATTTGTAGGATCTTCTAAATTATTTTTCAGTATATTGTTTCCTTATTTCTCTCTTTTAGAATATTAGATTGACAAATAAAGGTAAAGAGAATGTAATATGACATGAATGAAAATAATAAGAGTCATTCTCTTTCTCAATAATATCATACCTACAAATGTCCAATTTAGGTCAAAATTGACATACTTAATAACACAGGAAATGTCAATGATTTGACTGTTAAATTGATTATAAAAAGTTATTAACTAGTGTAAAGGGAATTTTCTTGACTCAAGGTATCCTATCGTACATGTGTGAGAGAGAGAGAGATTAAATAATAATTGTGTAACTTGTACAAACTATTAGTCTGTTCAATAACTTAAAACAAACTTTATATAATATTTTATATTCCTTCCCATTATTATTATGTTAATTCTACTAAATCATTACAACTTTTTATTCATAAATTTAGTTATATTCATATATTATTATGTGTTATATGTGTGTCTCTAATACATAGTTATAATTATGTATTAATATTTTCTTCTATATTCTTAATGGGAGTGCTTAGCTACACGATCTGTCTATCACACTTTCTACTATTGGTTAAAATTGATTAAAAACTACAAAATGATGTGTCAGACTCATTAAATAATTGAGACCCTCGAAATTGTGATTTCTAATAAATTTAAATCAATAGAAGTGTATTAAAAAAGTGTTAGCATTTCTCGTAAGTAGTGCAATGTACTTCATAGTTTTATAATAGTTTAATATACGACTAATAATGTTAGCTTTTATATTTAGAAAAAATAATTTAGAAGGATGAAAGATATATTATGTGAAGGAGCTCCAACAATATTTTATTCATGGACTCTTTATATAGAAAGTGAAAGTGTAACAAAATATCATACTAACAATATCTTATAATCTAATAGCTTTCTTTTATCTAAAAATGTTTAAAAATTGAAACATTAAAAATAAGCTCCTAAAAGCTAGTTCATTTTCCAGATATTTAGGCATATATTCTCAACACTCTTCCTTGCCTTAATATCCCTAAAGGCTCCATTTGAATTTCAAATTTAAAATTTGATCTCTTTTTATACTTGTTTTCTTCCTCCATTTTTTTCTTGTAATTCTTATCATTTTGTTTCCTACGTGAGATCACATCTTCATTCAATTTGACCTTTTTTAGCACGTTCATTTGTTTATCAACTTCATTTTCTGTTTCTAGTGGACTGTGATTGGAGTGCTATTGTGTGCTATTGACCACTACTGATATTCTAGCAAGTTATTCTTAATACTTGAACAAAGGTTTGCATGGAATAAAAGTCTATTTCATTCCAGAAAGTATTCCTAATTCCAGCTTTACGTAGTTGAATCAATACAGAATATCACAACAGAAGTTATAACTTGCTATACAGTAGACAACAACTAACTAATTGCATAACCTCTGGAATGTGTATTTTTTAAACATCTCTTAGTAGTCGAAAAATACCTCCAATACTTCATCAAACTCAACGAGGTTCTTCCTTATGCCAAAGAAGAATTTTTCTGCATTGATTTGCAGCGCCAAAAGCTGTAAACATGTGTCCCAGTTAGCATTGGAAATATGGAACTCATTAACATTAAGCACAGCAGCCAGACACAAGAATAAAAAAAGATGGGAAAAGAGACCACAAAGAAAGTATGTAAATAGAAGAAAAATCAATATTTTATTCTATTAGTTAATAAAGAAGAAATTTATCATGAAAAAGAAAGAAAAGGGGAGAAAAGCAGATTTAAGGGCCTATTTGTTCCTATTCTTGAAAAAAAAAATCGTTTGATAAGAATAGCTTCTGAAAGTAGTTTTCAGAAGTCATACTTCTTTCAGTTGTTAAAATAAAAAACGAGAAAGTCTTTGAAGTTATTTTGGTTTTCAACTTTCGGTTTTCATGTACTTCTTTGCACTATCCCATCTTCTTGACCCATTCCCATAATCTAGAAATTAGTTTTTAGTTTTTGAAAACTATTTTATATAATTACTTTTAAAAACTAAAACAAGAAAACTATTAAACACCCTAAATTCTTCTTAGAATAAATATTTACTTATCAATCACAATAATTTAAATAATTTATAGATAATAACCTGCTTTACGATGGCATCACCCTCAATTGGCAGATCCTCATCATTTGTAATCTTTGAGATAAGTCTCACTGCCCATTCAGTATCAAAATTGAACTTTTGAAACATCTCATCCTGCAAGCTATAACACGATGAGATAGTGTAAGAACTAACTGACAGCCCTTAATTAGTAAACCACACCCAGTCATGCCACTCCCCTCAAAATACACTACTAAGAATCTCAAATTTAGAAGGAATATTATTTCTTTCTTATTCTCATTATAAGGTTATTAACCTCTATAAATATACATGGGTTAGCTGCATATTTTAGGAAATGCAGACGGTTAATTCTAAGAAACAGATCCCTTTGATTATGTGATCAATCATACATAAATAAACCTAATAAATGCAGCACATAACTGTTGCATAAATACAGCCCATCAAATATAAAAACATCCTAAAATATATCACGACAATTACTACCACGTCAATCATGGTTTTTGACACTCCCCCTCAAGCTGGTGAATAGGTGTTTTCCATTCCCAGCTTGGATATAATCCCTTCAAATTTACTACAGTTCAGGCCCTTGGTGAGGATGTCCACAAGTTGGTTCTGAGTGGACACATATGGTGTGCAAATCATGCCACTGTCAAGTTTTTCCTTGATAAAGTGTCTATCGACTTCAATATGTTTAGTCCTATCATGTTGAACCGTATTGTGAGCTATGTTAATTGCTGATTTATTGTCACAATATAACCTCATAGGTTCTTCCTACTTTATCTTCAAGTCTTCCAATATAATCTTCAGCCATAGAAGTTCACATATTTCGTGGGTCATTGCACGAAATTCTGCTTCATCACTTGATCTAGCCACTACACTCTGTTTTTTACTCTTCCAAGTGACTAAGTTTCCACCGAGGAAGGTGCAGTATCCCGTGGTTGACCTTCTATCTACAACTGAC